CTGCTTCTATTACTCAGAGATTTTATGTGACTTACCGAATTAGTCGGGGTCTCCAGAGCAATAGAACGGGATCCTATATTGCAGAGTGGGCCAAATCACGATGTATACGTGCCAAGTCTAAGGACTTAATCTTATTTCTGAGTAAATATTGCAGAAGGGTTCTGTAACCCATTCATTGTCCTTAATGAATGGTGCTCTTCCTTACATCTGCCCCCACCCCTGACACCAAACTCAAAAGCCGGGACACTTTGCACGAAGACAATAGCAATTATATGAGATACTGCTATCCAAATGAATCAGCAATAATTGATAGCACCGTGGCTCTCTCAGGTTACTCATTAAGCATTAAAAATGGCACCACAGCTTGCCTGTCTCAAATGCTGTTTCTTATCTGAATATAAGTTCTGTCTTTCTGCATATTCAAAATAGCCAGCACATACACAATGTATGTCTCCTACATGACATCTGGTGATGTGTCAGGAATAGTGGAAATTAGCGGTTCTGGGCAGGGAGAGTAGATCTGAAGGTCACTCGAGTGGGGCTTTGACGGGGCCGGGTTTGGTAGCCCACGTAATTCCGGTGGTCCTGTGACCATGGGAGGGAGAGGTCCGCTTCACCTCCAGATGCCAGGCTAGTCCTGTTGCCAAGGAAAACGTCACGCAGGATCATGCCCTGCTCTGAGTACCACCAACAACTGCGGTTCTTTCCCGGAGTGTACTTTGTTCATTGCAAGGAAGTTCTTCTTTTCGGGAGTTAGGCAGACAGCTCCCGAGCCGGGGCCTCGTCTCCCTTCCCCCTCACCACAGCCACTGCATAAAGTAGTCCTTAGCCAGGGAGGCGTGGCTGCCAGGATGCTTCCTTAAGAAGGATTAGACCCCATTTTCAATGTCCCAGTATTCCTGGGACTTTGCCAACCCTTTGGGACAAAGAGATCCTTGTTTATTTCTAGAGATGATCTCAGGCGGCCTTAACCATGTGGGAAAGCTTGGGTTGTTTGCGTACGGGCAGCTCCGAATAAATTCAATCTGGGGTTTTCACACGTCTGATGGAAGCCAGGAGTCCACATGTAGCTGGCTTTAAGTGTGCTCTCAGGGTGGGAAGCACACAGGCTTGGCGGTCCCCTCGCCGAAGTGAGCAAACTAGACAGGTCTGGGGAAACAAGCTTGGAGTCAACAGTGACGGAAAAATCCATCGCCCTGGGAGGTGAACACGAGGCACTGTGGACGCAGTGAAACAGTCACATGACGAGAGGCTCCACTTAGGCAGGAGTAAAGCATGTTTTCCTTTAAATGATTAAACTTAGTTGAACTTAGTTCAAGAAAAATTTTTCCTTCCGTACACGTTTTTTCCAGGCTTAAAGAGTTTCAATATGAGATTTGTTTTCTTAAAGAGAAAACTTATATCAATAGCTTCCAAACTAGATACATCTGTGGGCTCAGGACACTCAAATGACACCAAATAATGTGTCTGGCCCAACTCCTGAATCTGCATGGTTAAGATAGCACATCAAAAAAAGAAAAAAAGGACGAGGAGTTATAAATACTTCTTTGGCCTCTTGGTAATAAAACAAATGGCTATGGACTTGAATCCATGTTCATTCCGTTTTCTTGGGCATAAAGTGTTTAATGCCTCCTCTCAAAGTGATAAAATAGTAAAATTTCAAGTGTGTGGTTGGGAACTTTTAGTCAAAACTTCATTTGAACAATTATTCTGCAATCCAGCCTGGATTCGGGTTAACGTCAGGTCAGGACGTGTGAGTTAAACCAGGATATCTGAGTTGTCCAGCTTTGGAAAGGCCGGTTCCGAAATAAGTGGGGAGGGAAACGGAGCAACCCAGTCAGAGTAAAATACAAGCATGGCCCACAATAACGTCACTGGGGTTGAGCCCGACAGCTTCCGGGCATTTTCTGCTCTTATTTTGGGGTTAGTTCACTTAAATATAATAAGCATTTTTCTTTCTTTTCTACTATCCAGCGACCAAAAGCTAGAATGAATTATGATCAGTACCCACTGGTGTTTCCTTTGCTTTTGTTCCTGGGAGGAGGAAATACTTTCTCTGTCTCCTAGTTCTTAATCTTTTCCTTTCCCAACCGTGATGACTTTTTGCTGAGATTTTTTGATGAGGCTCAGCGTTCAGACGCCGGATCTGTGATAGGGCAGGAGCCCGATGGGAAACCGAGGCCCCCCCACTGCCCGCTGCTGCGCTCCCGCCACCCCGGTCCGGCCCGAGAGGAGCCCTCCTTCCCTCGTGCTGTCCCGCCTCGGCGCTCAGGTCTGTCGGTGCTCGGGACGGAGGGGCTGACGTCTGAGAATGGGGGGGCTACTGAGGTGCGAGGCCCTGCACGTTCCTTATCTTACTCGACCCTCAGCGGTCCTTCTACCGCCTCGGTTTAAGGTTTGAGGCACAGGCGACTCGGAGAGGTGGAGTCGCCCGCCGCCACCTCCCGCAGGCCGGTCGCGGAGCGCGGGCCTCGGGCTGCTTTCCGCCCACGCGCAGGGTCCCCGCGGAGTTCGCCCAGGCCCGTCCGAGCCCCGGTGTCTTCACTTCTTCTTGGCGGCGGGGACCCGGCCGGGAGGGGTCGCACCCGAGGCGGCGGGG